TAAAATCGGATTGTTTCTGGTGTGATAAGAGCAGCTGCAGGCTGTTCCTGGCCTGCCTCCCTGCCTGTGAAATAGGAAATATGAAATATGTAGAGGCCATGGGGCTCGGGCTGAGCAGCGCAGCCCAAGGCCATGAATGTTTGATGGCCGCGGCGGCGGGAGCATCTCCGGCTGTGCGGAGAGCCGGGCCAGGGGACAGAGCCCACCCCGGGGGCTGCCGGGGCCAGCGGGGGGCTCAGAGCCCCCCAGGGCACCGCTGGCCCTGCGCGCTCCTGGGCAGGTCGGGACGTGTCCCCAGCCCTGCCCGGCCTGCGGGACAGCGGACGGGAACTGAGGGCGCCTGGGGGGCTCATTCCCGGGGACATCGCCGGGAGCGGAGCGGGATCAGCCCCGGGAACGGGGGAGAGGAGTGGGGATCAGCCCCGGGAACGGGGGAGTGGAGCGGGATCAGCCCCGGGAACGGGGGAGAGCAGCGGGGATCAGACCCGGGAACGGGGAGAGGAGCGGGGATCAGCCCCGGGAACGGGAACGTGCTGAGGAGATGCGCTCGTTCTCGTTATCAATATCCTTATCAGCATTGTTGTGATTGTCCCTATCGCTGCCGTCATCGCTGTTGTTATCAGCACGGCCCCGCAGCCCCGTGACGAGGGCGACAAAGCCTCGCTGGCAGCGCCCCGAAGCTGCTCCTCAGGTTTGTGCCCCATTTGCGTCACCGATCGCATCCAAAAACAAAGGGAGAGGCCAAATCCCGGCGGATCAGGGGTGGGAAGGGCTTGGAGCTGCTGCGGGAGCGAGGGGCCGCGCCCACCGCAGCCAAAACAGCGCCAGTGCCAGCAGCGCCAGTGTCACCGGGGGACGGGGCAGGGAGGGCAGCGATGTCACTGCGGACGGGCAGGGACAGGACTGGGGGTCTGGAGAAGGGAACCGGTGCCACCGCTCCGTGTTGGGTTTATGTGGCAGCAGGGAGGGGTGGGGACAGCTCTGGTTCTGTGCTGGGCACATCTGCACACATCTGCACCTTGTACCGCGCACCTCTACACCCCGAACATCTCTGCACCTCTGCTCCTTGTACTGCAAAGCTCTGTGCCCACCCTCTGTGCACTGAACCTCTGCCACTGTAAACTCCGAACATCTGCATCTGTCCCTGAGTCCCGCACATCTGTCCCTCTGCCCCGAACACCTGATCCTGCCCCTGTGCCCCAAGAACAGCCGGCTGTCCCCTGTGCCCCCCAAACAGCCGGCTGTCCCCTGTGCCCCCCGAACACCCGGCTGTCCCCTGTACCCCAAGAACAGCCGGCTGTCCCGTGCCCCAAAAACAGCCGGCTCTCCCCTGTGCCCCAAGAACAGCCGGCTGTCCCCTGTGCCCCAAGAACACCCGGCTGTCCCCTGTGCCCCAGGAACAGCCGGCTGTCCCCTGTGCCCCAAGAACAGCCGGCTGTCCCCTGTGCCCCAAGAACAGCTGGCTGTCCCATGTGCCCCCCAAGAACAGCCGGCTGTCCCCTGTGCCCCAAGAACAGCTGGCTGTCCCCCGTGCCACTCAAACAGCCGGCTGTCCCCCGTGCCCCCCAAACAGCCGGCTGTCCCCTGTGCCCCCCGAACACCCGGCTGTCCCCCGTGCCCCTGCACGGCCCAGCACGGCCGCTGCGCCATCGGCCCCGCTCCCCGCACTGCCGCACGCTGGGGCCGGCCGCGCTCCGCCGGGCCCGTACCGCGGTACCTCTCTCCATCTCTCCCCTCTCTCCATCTCTCCCTGTCCCTCTCTCCCAGTTCCTCTCTCCCCGCTCCTTCTCCCGTTTCCCTTTCCCCTCCGTCCCTCCCGGCGCCTGCGCGCGGCGCGTCCGGGCGGATCCGGCGGAAGCGCCGGGCAGGTTCCGGGGCCGCGATGGCTCCGGACCCCTGGTGAGCGCCGGGCCGGGCCGGGCCGGGCCGGGGCTGGCACAGCACGGCACAGCACAGCAGGCCTCGCCACGACCCCTTCCCCCAGCGCCGCCTCTTCCCGCAGGCCGTGCACGACGCCATCCTCCGTCACCGGTTCCTCATCGTCCGCGCCAAGGAGCTGCGGTGCGGCGCAGAGCAGAGCCGGCCGGGGCTGGGGCCGGGAGCGGGCCGGGAGCGGGCCTGCCGGGGCTGCGGAGCGTGCGGAGCCTCCGGGGCCCGGCACGGGCGGGAGCGGGGCCGGGCGGGCCGGGCTGTGCGGGGTGTGCCTTCCCAAAGGCATCCCGGTGTGCGTGTGCCTGGGGTGCTGTGCCTTCCCAAAGGCATCCCGGTGTGCGTGTGCCTGGGGTGCTGTGCCTTCCCAAAGCCATCCCGGTGTGCGTGTGCCTGGGGTGCTTTGCCTTCCCCGGTCCTTTCCGATCCCGGTGTGCGTGTGCCTGGGGTGGTGTGCCTCCCCTTCCCGGGTCCTTTCCCATCCGGGTTTGCGTGTGTTTGGGGTGCTGTGCCTTCCCAAAGCCATCCGGGTGTCCGTGTGTTTGGGGTGCTGTGCCTTCCCTTCCCGGGTCCTTTCCCAAAGCCCATCCCAGGCTTTGGGGCTGTTGTGTCTTCCCCTCCCGAGGCTTGTACCGGCGGGTCCCAGCCCATCCCAGCTAATCCACCAGATCCCAGCCCACCCCGGCCGATCCCATCAGATCCCAGCCGATCCCATCCCCATCCCATCCCATCCCATCCCATTATCCCATCCCATCCCATCCCATCCCATCCCGTCCCATCCCATCCCGTCCCATCCCGGGCTCAGCCGCTGCTGTCCCCGCAGGCTGTCGCTGCTCGCCGCCGCTCGCCAGCTCGCCCAGGACATCGCCGAGAAGCTGCAGGAGCGGAACCGCTGCCAGCGGAGCGGGGAGAGCTCGGCCAAGGTGCCCTGGGCTGGGTGCGGTGTGCCGGCTGCGACGGCCCGGGAGGGCGGGATTCCCGGGATATGGGGCGGAATTCCCGGGATGCGGGGCGGAATTCCCGGGGTGCGGGGCGGAAATCCGGGGATACGGCGTGGAATTCCCGGAATGCCAGGTGGAATTCCGGGGATGCGGGACGGAATTCCCAGGGTGCGGGATCCGGGGATACGGGGTGGAATTCCCGGAATGCCAGGTGGAATTCCGGGGATGCGGGACGGAATTCCCAGGGTGCGGGGCGGAATTCCCGGGATGCGGTGCGGAATTCCCGGGATGCGGGGCGGAGGAAGAAGCGGATCGGGGCCGGGCTGTGTCGCTGCCGGCACCGCAGGGGAAGGTTGTGTTCCAGCTCCGGTGTCTGTCCCTTAAGGGATCTGTAAGGGGAAGGGGAAGGGAGTTTGGGAATGAGCAGCGGCTCCCCGGTGTCACCGCGGTTTGGGGTGAGCAGCGGTGAACCTGTGCGTGCGGCAGCGCTGCTTTTGGGAGGAGCTGCGGCCGTGCTGGGCACGCCCTGCTGCCTGCTCGGGCTGTCCCTGCGGGATGGAGCCGCTCCAGAGAGTCGGGGATGCTGGGATGGAGCTGTCCCAGAGGCTCAGGGATGCTGGGATGGAGCTGTCCCAGAGGCTGAGAGGCTCAGGGATGCTGGGATGGAGCTGTCCCAGAGGCTCAGGGATGCTGGGATGGAGCTGTCCCAGAGGCTGGGATTCTCAGGGATGCTGGGATGGAGCTGTCCCAGAGGCTCAGGGATGCTGGGATGGAGCTGTCCCAGAGGCTCAGGGATGCTGGGATGGAGCTGGTCCAGAGGCTCAGGGATGCTGGGATGGGGCTGTCCCAGGGGCTGGGACTCTCAGGGATGCTGGGATGGAGCTGGTCCAGGGGCTGGGACTCTCAGGGATGCTGGGATGCTCAGCAGCTGCTCTGTGCCCTCTCTGTGAACAGAGAGCAGATGTTCCTCCCCCAGGGCTGGCTGCTGCCTTTTGCAGTGGCTGCAGATCAGAGGGAATAGGAATCTTGCAGCCTTGTTTTAGCTGCATTTCTAACAAAACACAAGCCCAGAGTTAAACAGGAATGAGAAGCAGCAGTTGGAGCTCACCCAGGAATGTTGTGTTCTCCACATTTTCCCACTTCCTGTTTAAGAAATAAAATAAAGGTTTTCAGGAGGCTGCTTTCCCTGGGGCTCCAAGCCTCATCCTTTCCTTCAGGAGCAGCTTTGAGTCATTACCTGCTCCCTTGGCTGTTTTCAGGTGAAAATTGCTGTAAGCCCTTGAGTTGGTCATTTATAATAATTTCATAATTAAAGATGCAGTGCTTTTTCTCCCCCTCTCTGTGTCAGGGCTGTAATGCAGTGCACTGGGTCTGCTGGGCCACTCACTTTGCTGACAACTGTTCAAATCCAATGTCATTTTTGAAATGTTTCCTTGGAAGAAGTTCTGAGGAAGAGTGTGTAGGCTGTGCACAGTAATCAGTGCTGCTGAATGGCTGCCTCACTTCAGCAGGAGTTGAGAAGGGGTCTCAGAAACCCCAAATGAGTGGGATTTGAGCAGTATTTCTCTGGCTTTGGAGCGTTTGGAGGTGCAGATTCAATTCCTGCTTTCAGGACGGTGAAGTATCAGAATTGCACAGATACACCTCAACAACAGAAGACCAATAAAAAGATTGCTGCTCAATCTGTGTTTATAGAGGGCAAAGTTCTCTAGTGCCACCAGCGCCACCTCTGAGGAGCCCAAGCCCCAGTGAGACGTGGGGTTGGTGCTGTTTGGAGCTTTCTGGGGCTGGAACTCTCCGGGCTGGTGTTTTATGGAAACACTGCACGGGTGGCTGACTGCTCCATAAAATCATTTGTTCCATGCCCTGTGTTTTCCAGCTTGCTTTAATCCATTAACAGGTAAAGGGGAATATTTGGCAGTGCTTGATTCTACTCTAAACAAGGCTCCAGCAAGGAGAGAGGTGTTTCCATAACAGAAATGCCTGTTGAGAAACCCACGGCTGAGCAGTCGCGTGTCCTGCGCCTCCTGAGTGCTGTAATGCAGGGAAGTGTCTTTGTACAGTACTGGCCTTCTAGGGAGAATGTAAACAGGGTTTCATTTCTGTAGTATTGTGCAATTAGCACGGCTGACAAACTTCTTGCTTGTTGCTGAGCCAAAAATAGAGCACAAAATCTAAAATGGAAAAATAAACTGTGAGGAAGGATTTTCATCCAGCACTTACCATCTGTGAACTCTGCCCTGTTAAGCTGATCATAAAACTTCATTGTTTTCTTTTATTTTCTTTCTGCTTTTCTTCTGCCTTGGTTTTCTGTACAGGAGGGGAAATCTTTTGCTCTCTCACTGCAGTTTCTGCCAGGCTGCTGCCTTTGGTGACTTTTATGGCCGTGTCACCTTTGTGCTCTGTTGCTGTTCTGGGTCAGTCAAATGCAGCATTCTCCACCTGGAGCGGAGAACAAACGAAATTAATTACATTTAATTACCTGCTTGCAGAGCTGGAGGCCGCACAGAGGCTTCAGCACTCCCAAAATCTCTGATCCCCCGTGCTGGTTTGGATCTGCTGCCACGGTGGCATTGGGTGCTTTGGTCCAGGGGTGGATTCTGGCTGCCTCAGCCTGGCTGCATCTGCTCTCTGCTGTGCCTGGTGGTGTTTGAGAGCAAACCCCAGCCAGTCAGAGAGTTTCAGTCTCCTGGGGCTCTCCTGCTCCATCCCAGAGAGGTTCCATCTCTCAGGCCCTCCTGGTCCATCCCAGAGAGGTTCAGTCTCTCAGGCTCTCCTGCTCCAGCCCAGACAGGTTCCATCTCTCGGGCTCTGCTGCTCCATCCCCGAGAGTTTCAATCTCTCAGGCTCTCCTGTTCCATCCCAGACAGGTTCCATCTCTCGGGCTCTGCTGCTCCATCCCCGAGAGTTTCAATCTCTCAGGCTCTCCTGTTCCATCCCAGACAGGTTCCATCTCTCGGGCTCTGCTGCTCCATCCCCGAGAGTTTCAATCTCTCAGGCTCTCCTGTTCCATCCCAGACAGGTTCCATCTCTCGGGCTCTGCTGCTCCATCCCAGACAGGTTCTATTTCTCAGCCTCTGCTGCTCCATCCCAGAGAGTTTCAATCTCTCAGGCTCTCCTGCTCCATCCCAGACAGGTTCCATCTCTGCTGCTCCATCCCCGAGCACACAGGCAGGGCCTGGCAGCACTGCCCCTGCAGAGGGCTGCTGCTGCTGCTGCCTCTGTGTCTCCAGGAGAGCAGGGCTGAGAGTGAGAGCAGATTTTCCTCTCTCCAGCTCCCCGCAGAGCAGCTGGGGTTGCTGCCTGTTGTAAGCCACAGCTTGTAAACAAGAGGCACAGCAAGTCTTAATTAGGACAACTTGCATTGTTAATTGCAGTTTGAGTGGTTTTTTCTGCATAACTGGAATGAAAAGAAATAACATCTGAGGAGGAAAAACTCAGAGGATAATGTGAGTTTGAGTTGGGAAGGGGTGGGGGGAAAGCAGGAGGGTTCCTGCAAGCCTGGGGTTTGCTTGAAGCAGGGAAGGATGGCTGAATTCCATTTTTACTGAGAACACACATCTGGGGCTTGGGCAGGTCGGTGGTGAGAAAGGACTGGGAGTGCTGGGTGCTGCTGAGAAGGGAAATGGAACAATCTGGATTTCTCTGGGGTCTTAGGTTTCAAGTCTGGAGGAGTTCAGTGCAGGGAATGTGTGAACCTGTAGCAGCCTTCTCTCTGATCCTGGTAGCTGGGAAAGAAACCTGGTGGCAAAAGAAGCTGGTGCTTGTATTTTTACTGAAGATCAGAGGAATGAGCTGGAAATTTATCTGGAAAATATTAAAATGTGCTGAAATGTTTTGCCCATATAAAGAAGTGTGTTTATAAAGACTTGAAAGACAGCTTTCCATATCCATCAGCATTAATGCCTCAGAGTTGTGTTTGTGAAACTGTGCCATTGTTTTGTAAGCAGTGACTCCTGGCTCTGAGCGGGCTCTCTGGGCTTGCTGGAGCCCTTCACACCTTTGCAGTGAAAATTAAATATATATATACATGAAATGTCATGCAGATCTGACAGGGCAGCCAGTGACAATGTCTGTGTTCCCCCAGGTCAACGTGGCCATCAGGTCCTCGCTGCAGAGCCTCAGGGAGAAGATTGAGCAGCTGAGGGAGCAGCTGCTGCGGGCGGTGTCCACACGGCAGATGTATCTGTGCCCAGCAGCCCTGCCCCTGGGGCACCTGGAAAACGTGCTGGGAAAATGTGCTGTGGAAATGTGCTGTGCAAAATGTGCTGTAAAAACGTGCTGTGCAGAGTGTGCTGTGCAAAATGCGCTCTAAAAATGTGCTGTGCAGAGTGTGCTGTGCAAAATAGTGTTGTGCAAAGTGTGCTGTGGAAATGTGCTGTGCAAAATGTGCTGTAAAAACGTGCTGTGCAGAGTGTGCTGTGGAAATGTGCTGTAAAAATGTGGTGTTCACAATGTGCTGTGCAGAATGTGCTGTAAAAAACGTGGTGTTCACAATGTGCTGTGAAGAATGTGCTGTGCAAAGTGTGCTGTGTAAAGTGTGCTGTGCAGAATGTGCTGTTCAGAGTGTGCTGTGCAGGATGTGCTGTGCTGAATGTTCTGTGAAAATGTGCTGTGCAGGATGTGCTGTGCAGAGTGTGCTGTGCTGAATGTGCTGTGCAGAATGTGCTGTAAAAATGTGCTGTGCAGAGTGTGCTGTTCAGAGTGTGCTGTTCATAGTGTGCTGTGCAGGATGTGCTGTGCAGAGTGTGCTGTGCAGAGTGTGCTGTAAAAATGTGCTGTGCAGGATGTGCTGTGCAGAGTGTGCTGTGCAGAACGTGCTCTCAGCCCCTGCCACACGCACAATGTGCTGTGAAGAATGTGCTGTGCAAAGTGTGCTGTGTAAAGTGTGCTGTGCAGAATGTGCTGTTCAGAGTGTGCTGTGCAGGATGTGCTGTGCTGAATGTTCTGTGAAAATGTGCTGTGCAGGATGTGCTGTGCAGAGTGTGCTGTGCAGAACGTGCTCTCAGCCCCTGCCACACGCTCTGGGTTCCCCTCGTTCCCTCTGCAGGACACTTGCTCTCCAGAAGGTTCTCTGTGCTGCTGTTGTTACTGTCAGGGCAGCTGCAGGCCAGGAAGGGCTGAGCACACTGGGCTGCTGGGACAGAGCCTGGCTCTGGTCACCTCTGTGTCCCCAGCCTTGCCTATGGCTGAGAGCAGCTTAAGCAGAGGTCTCAGAGCTCAGAGCTGCCTGTGCTGTGCAGACACTGCTGTGAAGCAGGGTCACTTGGCCAGCACTAACTGCCCAGTGCATTTTCCTCTGCCATTTTCTCTTGGCCAAGCCTTGCTAAAAGCAAGGAGGAAGCTTTGTCCAGGCTGGGGTATCCTGGCTTTGGCTTTAAGACACAGCAGCCCTGCAGCTGCAGATTGATCAAAATGCTGCAGAACACACCTTGGGAAGAAATCAGGTTTTCTGCTGGGAGTGTTATCTACCCCATGGCTAGACTGGGAGATGCTGGAAGAGTCAGGTTGGAGGGTCACAGGGATGTCCATCTCCCTAAGGTATCCAGGAGCAGTCTGGTTTGAGGGAGGGGTGTTTAATTTCAGCCTGGCACAGCAGAAATCCCTCCTGAGCCTGAGTGCTGTGCTGGTGGCCAGGGCTGGAGCTGCTGCTTGGGCAGGCAGATGCTGCTGCTGTGGCAGAAAACACACACAAACCAGTTCAGCCAGTGCTGAACCCACTCAGCAGCACTTGGGAGAGAGTTCAAGTCCCTCAGGGTGTCCCCAGGGTTGGTTTGGAGATGTCCCCAGAGCTCCCCTGTGGGCACACTGCTCTGCAGAGGCACGGTGTGATTGTTCCTCTGCTCTCCAGGGGCTCTCGGGTGCTCTGCTCAGAACTGCAGCTGGAAACAGATGCTCAAAGGAAAATTTTGGTTTTTCTCTGATCCCTTGGCTGGCAGCTGCTCCCCTGGTCTGTGTGAGGAGCCTGCAGTGAAGTGAGATGAGAAATACCCTGCTGATTTTAAAGGCTCTGTTCTGCTTGGCCTGCCCTGGTGGTGACAGAGTAATTTGGAGTTCTTTTAAGAAATCTCATCCTTCCCTGAGCTTAACCTGTGCAGTACTGTTACACTGTCAGTGTTAGAGACCAAAAATAAACAGAAAATGACTTGGCTTGGATTTTGGAGGGGAAATGCTATTCTTTCTGCTAATTTGGCAGTAAATGTCCTTCCAGTTCTCTAATTACTTTGAGATGATGACATAAAGATCATTCTGTGGCCACTGTATGAAACCTTTTGTTTCAGGTATGTAAAGAGCAGAAACACATTTAGAATAACAGCAGGTTTCATTCAGAAAAACGTGACCAATCCTCTTAGGTCTTGGAGCCTTTTTTTGAGTTAAAATCGTTAATTTTGATGATCAGGAAGTCTGATTTATTTTATGAATGTATAACAAGTATTATTTTATGAAATGAAATGAAAGCTTCTTCGTGTTTCTGAGTTTGGTCCTTAACCCAGAGCCATCAGCACACAGCTGGAGGGGGACAGGAGGCAGAACTTGGTGGATGAGCTCCTGACCCGGCACAGACAGCTGGAGGCATCCTACAGGAATGAAGGCCCAGAGCCAGACATGAGCAGGTATGGCCCTGTCCCCTGCAGGTACCCAGGGCAGTCATCTGCTTAGAAATGAGTGGTTTTGTCAGGGACTGCACATTCCTGGCAGCTCTCTTCATGCCTGGAGAGGCTCCTGGAGCAGAGGCTGGGCAGAGTTAAAGGAATAAAGTTTATTAAATTTATTAAAAGGCCTCAAAGGATCCACCTTAGGCAGTGCAAGAGCCCAGCCAGGGCTGCACCCAAAATGGACCCAGCATGGACTCAGAGTCACGAGTTTTCACACTTTTATCAGTTTCGGTCCATTCCCACCTTGGGTTCACTGTCCAATTGCAGCTCCAGGGGATGCAGTCCCACCCTCCCAGGCTGCTCTCCTCCATCCCCTGTGGTTTGCACTTTTTGGGGCTGAAGCTGCAGTGGTGTCCTTGGTTCTGGGGCTGGAAAAGGATTGTTCTGTGTGCCTGAGCTGTGAGGAGAGCTGCTGACACTTGGTATGGAGCTCAGAGTTCTGTACCAGTGCAGTGCAGAGCCTGGGAAATGGGAAAGATGAAAACTTAAGGCAGACAGGAGTAAAATACCAAAATCCCTTGATAATTTCAGGCCCCATTAGAAATGATTAGGGAATCCAGTATTTTCCAGCAGAAGATAACATCAGAGAGTATTTATTTGCTGGTGCTGCAAGGCTTGATGTTTTATAGTTCTCTTTTAACTTCTTTTATTAAAAATGGATAAAACTATGCCAAATATTCCATCTGGTGAATTCCCAACCCCTTCCATGGTCTCCCTTGTGGGTCTGGTTTTCAGGGGTGCAGGCAGAGGCACCTCAGGGCCTGAATCTTGTGCCAGGAAATCCAGCTTTGCTCTCTTGCCTGAGCCTGGGCTGGGAGTGGGTCTGTAGGGAAGGGGCTTGGAAGGAATTTGGAGGGATCTCAGAGGAATCCTGGAAGGATCCCGGCAGGTCCTGGCAGGAGCTGGTGTCAGGCACGGAGCCCCGGGCTCTGGAGGGCTCAGCTGCCGTTCCCAGCTCGGGGTCCCTCTGCTGTCCTGGCAGATCCCGGCCCAGCTTTGGGATTCTGGAGGTGGCAGAGCCACCCTGGAATGTGCCTGGAGCTGACATAAGCTTTGCCGTGCATTAGAACAATCAGAACCTGGGGTTTGATGGGCTGAGCGCTGACACTTGCCTGCCTTGTGCTGCTTTTCCATGTCTAATCCAGCCCTGCTGTGACAGCCACGGTGCCCAGGCTGCTCCTGCCAGCAGCCCTTCCTTTCATTAACCTTCCTGCACCACTGATCACATATTTATTGTCCAGGGCCTGGGGCTGGGGCTTTGCCCTGGAATTAAGCTGCTTTCCGTCTGGTCAGCCCTCGGTGAGTTGCACATCCCGTGGGAGCTGCTCTGAAGCTGTTTCTGGGCTGCAGGGCTGTGCTTTAATGCTCTCAGGGCTGATCCCAAGTGACAACTGCTGCAGGACGCTCCCTGCCTGGGGACAGCACTCCTGCCCCTTCCGGCCCCAATTAAGGTGCCGCTGGAATTCCCAGGGAAAGGCTGGGCTCTTTGCGTGCCCCCCTGGAGCAGGGCCGGCTGCACTTCCTTCAGTGGGGCTTTAATGACAATTCCAGTGTCTTCTGCCCCTTTTCCTCCCTGGGAGAAGCTGTGCAGGCTGTCAGAGCAGGGGATGCAGTGGGGCAGAATTCCCAGGCTCTCACTCCATTCCAAGGGCAGGAGAGCAGCCAGGAGTGGTGACTTTGTGGGGTCTCACAGGTCAAACTTTCAGAATATTTAAACATTTGTGGAGACAGAGGAATGGGAATATTCCCACTCCTGTCTGACCAGTCTCAGGCTGCAGAAGTCCATGTCAGTCACCAGAGAATCAATAATTTACCTGCCCTTCTTGGTGTCTCTTGGAATTCCTCAAAAATAGAGACAGCTTCTGGTGCCTGTGGGACACAGAATCCCTTCAGTAGGAGCTACCCTGGTACATTTTAGAGGAGTCCATAATCTTCTTTCTCTTCAGTGTGGGTCACCATTTTTCCTGGTTGAACTCTTCCTGACAGATGGAATGTATTTCAGCCTGGATCCAAACAGGGATTTTACCTGATGCCAAAAAGGCCTCAGTCCATGAGTGCCCAGCTTCAGGTGTCAAATGCTTTGGGAATCTGGCTCTTGCTTGTGGGGGCCAAATAAGAAAAGAAGGAAATAAGATCAACAGGAGGTTTTCAGGTGCTTCTGAAAGCCCTTCCTGGTGTCCTTCCTCCCTCCCTCCCAGTTCTGCTGGAGCCTCATCCTGGCATGGGATGGGCTCAGCTCTGGGATTTGCCCACCCAGGAGAGCCCCTGAGTGCCAGGACCAGCTCTGGGGCTGTCCAGGGTCACAGTGGCTCTGTGGTCAGGGCTGCCCAAATATAGAAAATTTGTACAGATTTTTTTCCCCCCAAATTTCTATATTTATATAGAAAATTGTTTTATTTATTAGCTTGGAGCTTCCTAAAAATACAGTGTGAGCACTGTAAGTTAGAGAATGCCCCAGTCCTGCAGCTCCCCTGTGGAGAGTGACCTGTGAAGCCAGGCTGGGGTGCCCTGGGTGCTTCAAAGAGCCCCTCTGTAGCTCAGGGAATGTTCAAGTGATCATCCACCCAACTGTCTTATGACCCAGGTTTTGTTTAGGACTCAGTCTTGCAGAGCCCTAAGCCTCGATGTGTGGCCTTGGCCTAAAGTAGGTGCTGCTTGAGTAATCCAAGTTACTTGGGAGGTGTTCTCAGGATTGTCAGTGAAACAAAAGAGAAGCCCTCCCTCGTTAGGCAGGGACAGAGCTCCCTGGTTTTAAACCCCATCACCTTTTGTGCTCGGGCCATCGCTGAGCCCTGTAATTAGTTAAATCTGCTCCCCTCATCAAAAGCCATCCCCACGCTGCAGTGCTCTGTGAGGCTCCCCAGATTTGCCTGATTAACTTGGCTAATTGGATAAGCTTTAATCTTCACACCAGCCAGGCGAGGCAGGGCAGGATCAGGAGGAAGTGGAAGGTGGTTCCCAAACATGTCACAAAGATTATGGTGCCCAGCACAGTGCTTGGCATGACCCAGCCTCCAGGAACGGGGCAGAACCACAAATTATTCCAAATTTGCTTGCCTTGGCGGTTTTTTAACAGGCAGGAGTAGCTGTGCTCATTTTAGCAAGCAGAGAGCTCTCTGTTCCCTGTGCAGAGTTAAACAGCTCTGTCAGATGTTGTCACCCTGGGTTTGTTTCCTAGCTGAGGTGAATTGGGTGAGCTGCAGTGTGTCTCCATCTGTAGCTTCTGTCGTGGTCACAGACCTGGTGCCACTTGTGGGCCTGGGGGATAAAAGAGCACATTTGATCCCCCTGAGCAGGGAGGAAAGCTGGGTGATGTGGAAAACTGCATTCCAGGTGTGTGTCACTTTGATCAATCCTGATGGCCAGCCTCGACAGATACCTGGAAATTTAATTGCCAGCCTCCATAGACACCTGGAAATTTAATTGCCAGCCTCCATAGGTACCTGGAAATTTAATTGCCAGCCTCCATAGGTACCTGGAAATGTAATTGCCAGCCTCGAGAGGTACCTGGCAATGGAATGGGGTGCAGGGCTGGGATGCAGAGGAACCCCAGCTCCTCTCTGGTGCTGCCCTGGACACGGCACAGCAGGGCTGGCTCTGCTGTGGAGTTCAGCGTCTCTGGGCTGGATAAGGGAGATGCTGAGATTTAGAAAAAGTGCTTTTTAACCACTTTTATTAAAAGGAGTTTTTTTTTTATTTTTCTATTTTTTAGTATTTTTTTCTATTTTTTCTAAATTTTCCTATTTTTTCTCTTTTTCCCTCCTCTTTTCTATGTTTTTCTATTCTTCTCTTTTTTCCTAATTTTTTTCCTATTTTTTTCCTATTATTTTTCTATTTTTCCTATTATTTTTTTTCTATTTTCTTCTATTTTTTCCTTTTTTTCTTCCTTTTTTTCTCCTTATTTTTTCCTTTTTTAGTTTTCTTATATTTTTTCTATTTTTTAAATATTTTTTCTAATTTTTCCTATTTTTTCTCTTTTCCCCCCTCTTTTCTATGTTTTTCTATTTTTCTCTTTTTTCCTATTATTTTTCTATTTTTTCCTATTATTTTTTCTATTTTTTCTTTATTTTTTCTATTTTCTTCTATTTTTCCTTTTTTTCTTCCTTTTTTCTCCTTATTTTTCCTATTTCTTCTCTATCCTTTCCTAATTTTTTTCTCTTTTTTCTTTATTTTTTCTATTTTCTTCTATTTTTTTCTTCTTTTTTTCCCCTCCTTATTTTTTCCTATTTCTTTTCTATCCTTTCCTATTTTTCTCTATTTTTTCTTTATTTTTTCTATTTTCTTCTATTTTTCCTTTTTTTCTTCCTTTTTTCTCCTTATTTTTCCTATTTCTTCTCTATCCTTTCCTAATTTTTTTCTCTTTTTTCTTTATTTTTTCTATTTTCTTCTATTTTTCCTTTTTTTCTTCCTTTTTTCCCTCCTTATTTTTTCCTATTTCTTTTCTATCCTTTCCTATTTTTTTCTCTATTTTTTCTTTATTTGTTCTATTTTCATCTATTTTTTTCTCTATGTTTTCTTTATTTTTTCTATTTTCTTCTATTTTTTCCCTTTTTTCTTCCTTTTTTTCTCCTTATTTTTTCCTTTTTTTCTTCTCCTTATTTTTTCCTTTTTTCTTCCTTTTTTTTCTCCTTATTTTTCCCTTTTTTTCTTCTCCTTATTTTTTCCTTTTTTCTTCCTTTTTTTTCTCCTTATTTTCTCCCGTTTTCTTCCTTTTTTTTCTCCTTATTTTTTCCTTTTTTTCTTCCTTTTTTTTCTCCTTATTTTTTCCTTCCCTTTTTTTTTCCTCCTTATTTTTTCCTATTTCTTTTCTATCCTTTCCTATTTTTCTCTATTTTTTCTTTATTTTTTCTATTTTCTTCTATTTTTTCCTTTTTTCTTCCTTTTTCCCTCCTTATTTTTTCCTATTTCTTTTCTATCCTTCCCTATTTTCCCCCCTATTTTCCCCCTATTTTTCCCATTAATTTTTTTCTGCCTGCTGCGCGCTGGTTCCGCGGCAGCGCTGCTCCAGCCCGCGGCCAGGAGATGTCCCCAGCGGCCCGGGGGTGCTGCAGGAGCCCCGGCCGGGCCGGGCGGGCTCGGAGCCCCCTGCCCTGTGCCCAGCGAGCTCCTGCCGGCATGGGGCACAGGCGGCCACGGCGAGGTCAGAGCAGCGCCGTAAAAACTCAATTAAAAAACCCAGAACGGCTGCAGCGTTCTCATTTAGGGCTTGGTGGAGCTGGAATCGTGGAGAGCCTGGGAGAGCCTAAAACCCCTCTCGTGTCTTCTGTCTGGGGAAGTGCTTTGGGGAAGAGCAGGGAGAAGGTGAAATGGGGATGAAATACAGAGTTGAAAGAAAGGAAAGCAGAAAGCAAAAGCTCCAACCTGTGACCATCTGGGGGAAGCAGCCTTAGCATGCCTCCCCCAAACCTGAGCTGCACTTCTGGGGTCAGGGACTCTCAGTCTGTTGTGAGGTTTGTCCTGGAGGAGCTGGAAGGCAGAAAGCAGAAATCTGCTACTGAGGAAATACTTGAGTGGGGTTTCATTTTACTGCTTGGATTTATGTGCCCTGGATGTGGAAATCTTGTTTTCTGTGGTCACCAGGGAAGTGTCTGTAATGTGAACAATCTCAAGTCATAATTCTTTGGAAAGAAATCCCATTATTTAATTACTCTTTCATTTAGGAGTGTGTGCTCCTGGCTTCTCGTTCGGGTTGATGCCAGACTAGGAAGTGCAGGAAGGGAGCTGTGTCCATCTGCAGTTCTCAAAATTCAGGAATGTTCCTGGTGAGGTGTGGTCAGCATTGCAGGGAGTTCAGTCTCATCTGATTTGCAGCTCTGTTAACAAGTGGATCCTTTTGCTGTTTGAGGTGTAACAGTACTTTTATGAGCTTTGATCACATAGCAAATCCAGGAATAACGCGTATTCCCAGGAATGCTGTGTGCTCTACATGCAAACAGCATTTTATATGGATTTATTATACAATCTGTGGTTATTTATACAGTCTGTTTATCCCTGTGAGACGAGTTCCGTCCTCCCTTACCACCTCCAGCCTGTGAGGTGGGTCTTTATCCCTGTGAGACGAATTCTGTTCTCCCTTACCACCTCCAGCCTGTGAGGTGGGTTTGTTTTTGGGGGTTGGTCCCTGCTGGGGCTGCACAGAGCCCGGGGTGCTGCTGCGTGCCAGGGGCAGGGCACACAGCAGGGGTGGCAGTCACTCACTGGCACTCTTTGCAGATCCAGCCTCATGGCAGGAGGGGCCACACGAGGCCTCGCCAACCCCTGGCTCTTGGAGGAATCGGAGGAGACCCGAGGACTTGGCTTTGATGAGCTCAGGCAGCAGCAGAGGAGGATCATTGAAGGTACAGGAGCCTTGCTGGTTGTTTTGAGCATCTCTGGCACTCGGGAGAGGAGCTTTTATTTGAACCTCAATGCACCAACCTGTGCTGAAGTTTTATTCTTCACTGAAGCTCCAGGCAGCTGCTTTCTGTGTTTGCAGGAGCAGCATTGTGCTTGCAATGTTCTTACCTGGGTGCGACCTCTTAAATTAAATTTTGGAAGTCCTGATTTTGCCCCTGTTCATGGTTTTGGTGTGATGCATAACTGTAGGGGTCTTGCTGGGTGCATTAAAGGTCTTGTTGAACTGGAACAAGGTAAGAACTCATCCAAAAAGGGTCTTCATTTTGGCCCTCTAGCCCCATAAGGAGTCTCTGACTTTGGGCGTGTTGGGAAGGCTCAGCCTGGGGAGGTCAGCTGGTTGATGAGGTCGTTCCCAGGCCATTCTAGTGCTGGAAGTGATGCCATGAAATCAGTCTGCAGGAAAATCCTGCTCCCCTCTGCCTGGGCACGACGGGTGTGCAGCTCAGGAGAATGCCTGGATGGTCCAGGAGGGGCCTCAGCTGCGTTTTAATTACTTTATAGGTAATTAAAGTGAGGCTGAAGGAGGCTGCTGCAGTGGAGGGTGTCCTGGGCACCCCCTTGGCTGTCACTGCTGTGCCCTGGGCACTGCCCCTCTGCAGCTCCTCCTGTGCCAGCCTGGCAGCTCAGGGCAGGGAGAGCTGCACGTTTTGGCTGAGGGGCTCTGTGGGATGTGCTCCTTCCCCCAGGAGCTGTGCAGAGCTCCGGGAGCACAGCACCCTGTCCCTGCCCTGCTCCCCTCAGCTCTCCCCACCCTCTGCTTAAAAAAATCTCTTTGAATTCTTTGGTGTTTGCATCACCTGTTTTCTTTTATTCATGTTAAAAGTTGCTTGGAAAATTTAAAAAGGCTAATCTGGAGCTCGCTGTCTGTGCCAGAAAATCCCCTGCATTTATGATTGAGTAACAGCTAAATGTTAAATTCTTGGTAGGTAATTAAAGTGAGGCTCTGCTGCAATGGAGGGTGTCCTGGGCACCCCCTTTGGCCGTCACTGCTGTGCCCTGGGCACTGCCCCTCTGCAGCTCCTCCTGTGCCAGCCTGGCAGCTCAGGGCAGGGAGAGCTGCACGTTTTGGCTGAGGGGCTCTGTGGGATGTGCTCCTTCCCCCAGGAGCTGTGCAGAGCTCCGGGAGCACAGCACCCTGTCCCTGCCCTGCTCCCCTCAGCTCTCCCCACCCTCTGCTTAAAAAAATCTCTTTGAATTCTTTGGTGTTTGCATCACCTGTTTTCTTTTATTCATGTTAAAAGTTGCTTGGAAAATTTAAAAAGGCTAATCTGGAGCTCGCTGTCTGTGCCAGAAAATCCCCTGCATTTATGATTGAGTAACAGCTAAATGTTAAATTCTTGGATTTTTTTTTATCCTTTTTTTTGTTTTGGCTGAGGGGCTCCGTGGGATGTGCTTCTTCCCCCAGGAGCTGTGCAGAGCTCCGGGAGCACAGCACCCTGTCCCTGCCCTGCTCCCCTCAGCTCTCCCCACCCTCTGCTTAAAAAAATCTCTTTGAATTCTTTGGTGTTTGCATCACCTGTTTTCTTTTATTCATGTTAAAAGTTGCTTGGAAAATTTAAAAAGGCTAATCTGGAGCTCGCTGTCTGTGCCAGAAAATCCCCTGCATTTATGATTGAGTAACAGCTAAATGTTAAATTCTTGGATTTTTTTTTATCCTTTTTTTTTTGGATCCAGCAAAATGTCCCAGCCAGAGCAGAGAAATTATTTACCCATCATTCACATTATTTCAAGAGTACTGTTGCCATAAGGATTAACTTTCATGTTGTGTTCATGTGTTTTTCTTAATACATTTTAGCCCTTTAAGCACAAGTCGATTTTTTTCCTTCACTTCTACCTATTTTATGTAGCCTGGCATTTCAGCAACTTTTGGAAGTAATTTAATGTATTTTCCTGGTGCAGAACAAGATGCTGGACTCGATGCTCTTTCTTCAATCATATCCAGGCAAAAACAGATGGGGCAGGAAATTGGGAATGAGCTGGACGAGCAGAACGGTAAGGAGAGGATCTTGCCTCACTTTCCTCTAAGATGGGATTTGTTCTCTTCTCTCTCTCCTCACACAGCTGCTCCTTCTGCCCAGAGCAAGCAGCTGGCACTGGAGGTTTGCTGTGCCCATTCCTCCCCTGGTTTTCTGTGCCTCTCTCCATCCCTGTGGGCTGTGGCCAGGGTGGAACACTTGGGAGGTTTCCCCCAGCCTGAGTTTTGAACAGAGGCATTGGTGATGGCTGCTCCAAAGCACAGAATGGATTCTGTGCTCCATCTTCTGCCTTTTTCTGTTTTGTGACAGTTTTTATGTGTTGCAGGGCTTCACTTGAGCATTCTCACTGTGTGTCTGTCCTGTTTAGCTGAGTGGAGAAGTCTTGAGCCAGCGACTCAAGGAGAAGCGTTGCGTTGTTAGCTCCAAGCGGTTGGGTTTGGGAGGGTTTGTGGCAGTGAGTGTAGCTCAAATTAATGTAATATTGACCCAGGAGAGCACCTAGCTCCTTTCAGAGGAGCCAGTGGCTGAGTGGAGTTGCTCTCCTGCAATAATAAATCAGTGTGCTGTGTTACCTCACTGTGCACGTGGCACGAGCTGGCCCTGGCAGGGCAGATCCTCCTGACTGCTCCATTCCTTCCACCTGGAGCAGCCCAGTGGGAGCCCTGGCCTTCATCCCTGCCTTGTGCTTCCCCTCTGGGCAGGGCAGTGTCCTTTGCCTTGCTGAGAGCCCTGGAGCCCAGCCCTGAGAGCTGCTGCTTCCTGGAGTGCTGTTTGCCCTCTGCAGCCCCCTGGGAGTGAGGGGCTCCAGACTGCATCCCTGCATGGGAGCTCAGACTGCAGCATGTGAGGGGCTCCAGACTGCATCCCTGCCATGAGTGCTGCATGGGAGCTGACTGCAGCACAGTGAGGGGCTCCAGACTGCATCCCTGACATGAGTGCTGCATGGGAGCTCTGCTTGCAGCTCAGAGTGAGGGGTTCCAAACTCCATCCCTGCCTGGCAGCTCAGAGTGAGGAGTTCCAAACTCCATCCCTGCCTGGCAGCTCAGAGTGAGGGGTCCCAGACTCCCATCCCTGCATGGCAGCTCAGAGTGAGGGATTCCAAACTCCATCCCTGCCTGGCAGCTCAGAGTGAGGGGTTCCAAACTCCATCCCTGCCTGGCAGCTCAGAGTGAGGAGTTCCAAACTCCATCCCTGCCTGGCAGCTCAGATTGAGGAGTTCCAAACTCCATCCCTGCCTGGCAGCTCAGAGTGAGGGATTCCAGACTCCATCCCTGCCTGGCAGCTCAGTGAGGGGTCCCAGACTCCCATCCCTGCATGGCAGCTCTGCTTGCAGCACAGTGAGGCAGGAGGATGGATTTCTCCTGTCTGCCACAGCTGAACCCAGGAGGGATTGGAAATGCCTAGAAGATGTCTTTGTTTGTTAAGTTTAGGGCTGCTAAGGAAGGGTTTGTGCAGCTGGGAGGGACCGTGCTCGGTGCTCTTGTCATGTTTGGATCCTCTGCCTCGTGTGAGGAAAGACATTTTCAATTAGGGGTCTCATCTCATAGGTGCCTTTATTAATTGTTGCTTAAAAAGTCACATTAATTGCTTTTTTTTTCCCTCTAAATAGGAAACAGGTGGGAAGCATAGCATATTTATGGATTCTCTGTGAACTTTTGGTTTCTCCTCAGGAAAACACACCATGTGTCACATTTCCCTGTTGAGGGTTGGGGATGGTTCCCCAAATCCTTAGTTTTAGGGACCCTGAGGGTTCTGTGTTTCATGCCATTGCATTTTTGCCAGACTTCTTCTAGCAATGAGACCTGGAAATACCTGTGACATGGAGCATATTTAACCCTCCTTTTTACAAATCCTGCAGCTAGTGCTGGCGTTGTTTGTCTTAGGGACACTTACAAAGCCTTGAGCACATTCCTGTGTTTTCCTGGAGCTGGAGGCAGCAGTTCCTCAGCAGAGGGGAGCTCTGGGAGCAGGGGTGGTGAGGATGGTGTGCTGCTCAGAGCCTGTGTCCCACAGCCAGCAGCAGCCCTGTGGGAAGGCTCAGCAGGAGAAGCTGGAGCTGTGCAGGGGATTGGGAGCAGCCTGGCCCTGCAGCTGTGGGGCAGCTCCCTGCCCCTGGCTCCATCCCTGCCAGGCAAGCGGAGCTCCCACGTTTCTGCTGACTTGGTGCAGTCCCTTTTTCTGGGCTTTTTTGGCAGATATGGGGGGGATAAGGCCAGGCATTCTGTTGCCCACTGGCACCCTGGAAAAGCTGAAGTCCTTAGCAGTATTTTCCAGGGGCTGTTTCCCTGTGCACATCTCCCTTCGTGCCCCTGCTTAACCACGAGCAGACTTTGCTCAGGCTCTGTGCCAAGCTCGTGTCACTGCTGCTGCTCAGGTTGATGAGGATAACTGCCCTGTAATTTCCCCTTCCCTGGAATCCCTTTCCTTCCTGGTGCTGAGTGATAATGGCATCGTCTGGCTTGTGGGGAGGCAGGGGAAGTTCATCTTCATTAAGTGCTGCTTCAACATTTCTCTTTCCTCCAGTCAGACTTTCCATCAGAGCTCCTTTCTGTGGGAAGCTTCACTTCCCCTTCCCTGCCTGCTGGGGATGTTCCCACCTTGTGCTGCTCTTGAAATAAAACCTGGCTCAGTGCAGAGGCAGCTGATAATGTGCATTAATGAATTAAGCTTTAGGGAGCTGGGTACTGATTTTGCAGACCTGTTCCTCGGGTCTGTATTTTCCATCCCCAGGCAGCTCTCTGGAGGTGTTTGCACTCCCAGCTCCGAGGTGGCCAGAGCATTTTCCCCCGAGTGCCAGCTGGTGTAGCTGTGCATTTGCAGATGGATTAATTATGCAAAGTTTGCCCCTCAGTGCGAATTCCTTTGTGTTTGTTAAATGACTGCAGAGTGATGGAGCTGCCTTTGGGAGGGAGGTGGCTGAGGGGTGGCAGGGGAGCAGGGCTGGAGCTTTGTCCAGGGCACCCCTGGGGTCTCGGGGCTGCTGTGCCCATGGGAGGGTCCTGCACGTGGACCCAGGTGACACCAGGTGACACCAGCCTGGCCTGCCTGAGCTCTACATTTCCCACCCATCCCTGCAGGAACCCTCTGGAGGCAGCAGGGGCTGCTCAGGTGGGGTCCCTGCAGGCACAGAATGTTCTGGAAGGGCCCATTCCCCAGGGTGGATGGCTGAGCCCCATCCTTGGCTCCCCCTGTGCCCCATCCACGCTTCACTGGGGGTCTCACATGGTTCTGTGCTCAGGTTCTCACTGCAGCCCTGTCCTGCAGATTTGGTGGCTCTGCTTGAGGCTGATGGGCCCTTGCAAACCTCCTGAGCTGGGCATTTTGCACTGATGAGCAAAGGGTACCAGGAGACATTGTTTTTTTCCAGCCTCAGGAGTCCGCTAGCAGTGGGGGATTAGCAAAAGAATTTTCCCATCATTAGCTCCAAATTTGGCCCCAGAAAACTTTCTGTAATCCTTTCATCTGTTCCATAAAAAAAAATAAAAAAGAAAGAAAATAGTGTAAATGGCCTCTGGCCCTGGTGGTGAGGCAATCTAATCTAGTGCAATAATTGTGGAAGAATGCTTTCAGAAATTGTGAATGCTGTTTGTTTTACCCTTATAGAGATGTTGTTTTCTCATTGTGACATGCTTGCATGAGAATGGAGTACTCTGGGATGGATGGTAAATATTGGGAGCTTGCAAAACTTGCCCAGTTTGGCGTTTTTCCCTGCCAGTGTCATTTCTTTGCTCTCTTGAGGAGGGGTTCTTTGCTTCTGGCTCCTCTGAACCTCACAGCAGGGCATAAATCAGTTCATGGACAGATAAGCTGCAAAATCAGACCCTTCATGTCCTTTTCCTGCTCAGGAGAGTGCTGTGCCCAGCCAGGATGCTCCTAGCCAGAACGGATCATTTTTAGTGAACCCTCTCTCATAATAATCCTTTAATTATAGGGTTATGTAACGTTTTGAATTTCTTGTCAAAACCAAGTTTTTAAAACCGACCAGAAATTGTGGCGTGTTGTTTGTGTTTACAATGGCTGTGCAGAGCAAGGTTGCAGTGTCACCTCTGGTCACAGTGGGTGGCACAGGACCCTGGGGACACCCAGCTCAGCCTGCTGGGAGGTTTTTGTTACCCTGAGAGCCGTGGTGTTTGCTGTGTCAGAGTGCCTGAGCCTGGAGCCCTGCTCTGGACACACCTGGAGAATTGTCCTGGCGTCATCAGCAAAGGGAGTGAACGTCACTGATGTTTTCTGAAAAATCCCTTTGCCAGGGTTCTTCTCCTGGGAAGCTGAGAAGCCTCAGGGAAAAAGGAAAACAATATTGTCTGAGTTGCTTCTCCTGTGTTTTGGTGCTTTGGAATGTTTGGAGATTGTTTACCCACAGGTGATTGTTTCATTGGTTTTGTGTGAATTCCATGTGGATTCATTCATGTGGATGGCCAGTCAGGGCCAAGCTGTGTCAGACTCTGGAGAGAGTCACCAGTTTTCACTGTTATCCTTTTAGCCTTCTGTCTGTGTCCTTTCTCTATTCTTTAGTATAGTTTAGTGTAGCATTCTTTAATATTATATAAGGTCATAATACAATAAACCAGCCTTCTGAGAACGTGGAGTCACATTCATTCCTTCCTCCATCCATTCGTTCATTCCTTCCTCCTCCATCCAGGGACCCCAAAGCCACCACCAGTGAAAACATCCCTGGTGCTGCAAGGATTTTGGAAGCATTGGCAGGATGAGATTCCCCCTCCCAGGGCAGCTCAGCTCCTGCTGCAGCAGCCCAGCCAGGACATGGGCAGTGAAAAATCTTCTCCTAAAGATTATTTATGTGCCTGTTGCAGAATCCAAAAGTCGTTTCACATTTCTGTTTATTAGCAGTGTTTCTGCTGTAATACAAATTAATTAGCACTGTGCATGGGCTGGGCTTGAGCTGTGAGCCTCAGAGCAGGGGCTGGGGATGCATTGCATCATTGTTAGGATTCGTTTTAAATCAGAAATGATTGAAGATTGAATTTGTAGGAATGTTCATCATCTTGTCTAAAC